TCCAACACCTAATATAATAAAAAATATAATTTTATTAATATATAAAAAATATAATTTTTTTTTAATAAGAAAAATGTATAAATCATAGATAAATCATCAATTGATAAATCATAGATGATACAATAATAATTAAATATGATAAATAACTTTCTAAAATTTTTGGAGTAGAATCTAATTACAAAAAATGATAAAAAGCTAGTGTTGAAAAAGTAGTTCAATTGTCAATTTTTAAGAGTGAGATTTCACTCTCTAAAATTATATTTCACTTCAAAGATTTTAGAGAGAAATATAGAGTGAAAATATTAAATATACGAAGAAAGATCCATGAATAAAAATTTGTGAGAAAGATAAATTGTTGATATTTATATGCATTACACATTCTAGTTTAACAAATTTAAATTAAAAAGAAAATATGCAAGCTATGAGATGCGAAAGCTATTAAAATGACACAAAAGTTAATATATCTAAACACAATATTATTACTAACATTTGCTTAAAAAAAATCGATGTATTTTTTTTATAGAATCAGAACGAGGAGGAAGATGCAAATCACAATGCAATCTTGATTCATCGAATGGATCTTTAGCGTTGATGAAGCTCCCGCGAATAATTGCTTCTTCGGTTGGCGCAAGCGATGATAAAATTTGCCACGGGATAAATGGCTTTTAATATTAATCTACGACCACTAATAACGGGCTGCACACTGTGAGGTGTGCGTTAACATAAAATTGCAAATTGCATCGCGCACGATCTTATTTATTGTTGTAAATCCCCACATCTGTACTGGCAAACTAACCGTTCAAACTTGTAATTACGAATTTGCGTAACAATCAATATGCATGGGTCTTCCAACATTTTCATGGAATTGATACTCATAAAACATCGAGGAATGTACATATACATATTATATGTACATATACATATATATATTAATTTGTATATATATATATACATATACATATATTAGGTGTTGGAATTAATTCGTAGCGTTTTGGGAAGTGATGGGAAGTACTTTCATTAATGTATTTTTTAATGCTCATGTGAAATAAATAACATTCTTTCATTAAAAAACGCTACGAATTAATTCCAACACTTATACATATACATATACATATACATACACATGTCCATGGACATGGAAATAGAAATGTCTATGTCTATGTCCATGTCCATGTCCATGTCCATGTCCATGTCCATGTCCCTTTAGATAGCGTTTATTTCTTTATAAGCAAAAAAAAATTTTGATAGCGTCAATCACCGTGACAGTAGCGTTCAATGTGTTACTTTAACTAAACAAATGTTTAGTCAATAAACGTTGCAACATCAATCATCATGATTAATAGCAGTTATTCTTATACGACTCCGCTTTGAAATATTTTCTTGTCTTCTCTTTCTATCCCATAAATTTATCAAATTGTAAAGCTAGAAATAGTACACGGAAAAAAATATTTGATGGAAAATGAACAGTCCAGAATTCTAGTTAAATATTTCTAGTTAAATATTACAAGATTTCTGGTTAAATCTATTAAATTTTGGTTATTTCAACTAGAATTTTAATATATTTAATCAGAAATCTTTTAGATTTAACTATAATTCTGAATTATTGATTTTTCACCAGAATTCTAATTAATTCAACCAAACATTTTTCTTTGTGTAGAAAAAGATAAAATTGCTAATATACTTTGATCTTCTAGAACTCGACAAAGTTGTCAGAGTTTTAAATATGTGAGTTGTTGGGCTGATTTTGCAAAATTTTTGCTGTAGATTTACGAATTACGCATCTGATACATACGAGTTCTCGCTTGTTGAGCCGACACTACATAATGACTGTGGACGTGCACTTTAAAAACTTGTGGAGAACGCTTAAATACTATCATGAAATAATCCAGCCTATTACCATCGTCATTTTACCTGACTTCGAGGCGTATCTAGAGTTTGTGGACGCCATTAAGATGTACTCCATGTCTTTTCCGGTGTGGTTTATTCTGTTTCTCTACACACCCGACAACAATATCCATGACCATTGTCATGAGCCGATCGGTAATCCCTTTAATCTGGCGTTCGACACGCAGATGTTGGTATTATGTAACAATGAGATAATCTTGCGGGAATGGTATTCCATCAAGGGCGACACCGTCAAAATTTTTGACCTGGCAGAATGGAGAGACGATGAAGGATTTGTTCCTCTGACAAATTTGTCCCTCTACGAACGAAGGAAAAACATGGAAGGAGTTATTCTACGAGCGGTCGCAGTAAAGGTGCTCAATAAGATTTAATGTGCTTTTTTCTATATATATATATTAGGTGCGCAACTAAGTTCTCGCTGTTATTTTCATGGCATTTGCATCAAAATAACAGCGAGAACTTAGTTGCGCACCTAATATATATATATAGAAAAAAGCACATTAAATCTTATTGAGCACCTTTACTGCGACCGCTCGTACCAGATAGCCAAGTCTGTAGAAAGTAAATTTTTTAAATGTCTGCTACACACTATGCCAACAAAATAACAACATAATTAGATACATAATTAATTAGGTAATATTGTTGACAGATAGAATAAATAGCTAGAAAAAACGTAATAGAATCTATAAGCGTCAGATAATGTCGATAGGATCTGCTCAGTTTCTGCCAACAATTTGCTTTCACATTATATCGACAGGCGATGTTAACAGAACACATCCTAATGCGGATGCAATTGATGGCAGATTGCCATCGTTTTTTGCTCGAACCTGCTGACAGTCTGTTAGAAAACTGCAGACATTTTGCTATTTGGATGTATGTTTTATATATATAATATATATATATATATATATATATAAAATATACAATACTTAGTAGTACAAAGTTTGGTCAACATAACAAAAATTCACTACGTTTATTTATTCTTGTGAAGGAGGAAAAAATATGCAATAGAGAAATTTATTATATATGATTAGATCATGACATCGTCATTACGTCAATAATGCAGCTAATTTGCATTTTACTAATATTGACATCATGGATGTGCGATATATATTGACTGACCCTGTATTTGCATTTAATTAATAACAAGTATTATTATAGTTTTATACCGAAATTATGTTTTTATCTTTATTGTATTTATATGATGGTATGTAGAATAAAGCTTATCTGCGTGAATATCCAAAACGAAATCTAAGAAATTGACTAATACTCTTCTAAAATTATCATTGTATTTAATGAAGTTATTGTCAATATATTTTGCTATTAAGGATAAAATAGTATATATGAAAAGTATATACGTTTTTATAATTAATTAATAACATATTGATGCAAATTTGGCGCTTGAGTTAAATATCACTTTTCAAATTAAATATTAAAAGACGATTTCATTTTAACGATCTGTTTAAAAATTTATATATTATGTACATATACATATTGTTTGATATATATTTTATATGCATAATATACATATACAAATAATACATGTAAAAATTTGTTTAAAAGATCTTTACATCAATTTTTTAACAATTAAAAATTAAAGATGTTTGTGAAGTGTCAAATATTTCTATTACTAATGTTATTAATTAATTAAAAAATTCATGTACTGTATAATTCTATAATTCTAATTTTAGAAATAATTATGAAACGATTTCTGTTTAATTAATTGGTGTTAAATAAATGCAGAATTTTACTTCGGTAATTGGGAATCAAATGGCTACTATGTACACAAAAGTATTCGAGGAGCTCACGAGTCATCTTAACTTCACTGTGAATATTGTCTCACAAAAGATCGAATACGGTATGCGGAATCGACAAACTCTCATCTGGTCTGGAGTGATGGGAGAAATCGTATATAATCGGGCAGATTTCGCAATCGCTGACATGGCGTTGACGAGTTTTCGAATTTGTTTTGTTGATTTCACACTGCCCTTGATCGTATCTAAAATCAATCTATATTTCAAGGAACCGGGAATATGTGGCGTCAAGTGGATCGGCTACTTTCAGGTAATATCATTTATTAACATTCAAATTATTAATTTAGTTTTTTATCTCGTTATTATCGCCTCGAAAATAATAAGATTTGCCTAAGGCGTACTGCTCATTTAAATCGTACCTCATCAATTTTTTTTTATTACTCCGTATAAACAATGTCTAATATTAAATAAAAATATAATATGAGCAATGAGAAGTAATTATAGATAAAAAATTCTGATAAGTAAAAAATACTGAGTACTGAGAAGTACAAAACTAGTTGCTTAAATTACTTTTTATATGTTGTAAAAAAAATTAATAAATTAATTTGATTTTAACAAAAGGTTCTGCATGTATATAATAGCAATGTCTTATCTTACTAGCTTAAATATCAATTAAGTTGCAATTTCCAATTCTAACTTGCGTACAAATTAGTATAAAATGAGAAATATGACATAAAATATCTTGATATAATTGTGGCAATTGTTGTCAATGTATCGAAACAGCTTACTTTTAAATGTAGTTTGATTTGATTGTAAATTTGAATTAATCTTTTATACTCGTACAATCACAACAGACCTTCAGTTCGCGCACTTGGATTACAATTATCATGTTGATAACGACCGTACCGCTACTCTTATTCTTCATGAAAACATGCCGTGATCAATCACGAAGCACCGTGGATCTGATCTCTGAGAATTTCATCTGCATTTGGGGTATCTTTTGTCAGCAGGCGCTTATAGGTATTAATATAAAATTTACAATACTTTTAAAGCAATTAACTTAAACATTTGGTCATAAAATATTCATAAAATATGTCATGACTGCTTCGTTTTTTATAAAGAGGATAAGATTATTTAAATTTTAATTAAGTTAAGAGTTAGGATAACTCGTCTTTTCACATGTATTATAAGTGTTATGACAGGTACATATTTCATGTAATGCGTTTATTGCATTTAATGCACTGAATTCAATCTGCGCACTTTGTATACTTTAGGCATAAATCCCGCTCGCTAAAAATGCCATATATCCCAAATAAACAAGACAAATACAAGAAATATACAAGACAATAAAGTAAACAAAAAATACAAGAACAAAGTACTTACATTTAGTTATACAACATGCTTTACTATTCTTTTACACTCATATATCACGAAATAATCACTAAGTCTGTATCACTAAGTATGTAGATCATAATTTATGATGGCGCTACTTAACAAAGTGACAAATATCGATTCAGCTCACAATAATTTCATTAATATCAACAGTAAGAAACTGAAATCATAACACAATACTAACATAAAGGCATAACAAAGTAATTGTAGGAAAATTACTCCCACTTCTTCTATTTTTTCTGACTTCTGATAAAGCCCTGCGTGGCGTATTTGTCGGAATTACTCTAAGTTTGATATCAAATTATATTTTCTTCTTTTTTACAAGTTGATTGGAGCTGTAATTAAATTTCTTTACTCCTTCAGAGTTTCCGAAAAGTTCATCACTGCGTGTCGCGTACTTCACGATAATTTTGACGGCGGTGCTAATAATGGCTCACTATTCAGCGGCGTTAATTTGCTTCCTGACGGTGTGTACTCATGTTCTACCTTTTCAAACGCTAGAAGAATTCACTGACGATGGTACCTATAAATTAATCGTGATACGCGATAGTGCCGACTATGACATAGTCACCGTAAGTGATCAAAGAGTCTGACTTTCACTTTTAGCTTGTACACCTTTTGAGCGATCAAAGTTATATCAGATCGTTGCATTCGGTAACATAGAATTATTTAATATCTAACGTGATTTTATTAACGTTGATATATATATATATATATATAATATAATTATATTTATATAATTATAATTCGTCATATATATATATATATATATATATATGAAGTGACGAATAATTTATGCTTTATAAGACATTTTTACGACAGTTTCAAGCGCAGTACGAGGTAAATCCTTTTTATATAAAACTGATGAAATTAATGAAGCACGAATCGGAATTGCCGAGAACCCTAATAGAAGGTTTCATGCAAGTACGATTAACAATCTATATTTTTACGCAAGACATTAAGACGAATAGAATATGAAAATTAAAATTCCTTACCGTTACCAAAAAAATGTAACTAAATTACCGTTACAATTATAAAAAAAAATAACTTAATAAAGTTATCCAAAAAGTAACTTTTAACTGTAACTTAATTACGAGTTTCTTCTATTCCCTGATTTTTACAATATAATCGTTATCTTTTATTTTCATAAATTACTTTCATCTCCTAATTAATATTATAATTACTTCAGCACGTTTAAATCATTTTTTATTTAATCTACTACTTGTTCAGGTATGCAACGAGAAAAATGTTGCTTTTATGGTGATGAGTACTCAAAAGAAAAGCATAGAAAAAGATATACCCTGTAAGTTATCGAGCATTACTACTGAGAGGATAACCAATTTAGTAATCATGCTCTCCAAGGATAATCCATATACAGGCGTGATAAATTATCAGTGGGTTATATTTATCATAAAATCCTTTTTGCATATTTAACCTTTCCTTCTGTCATAAAAATATTGCGTTTACCAGTTTGCAGAAATTTATGGACAATGGTATGATAATGCGTCTGAGGGAAACATATTCATCGCAGTTGGTTGAAAACAAGGTTTTCAAGCCGGTTTATTTATTTAACGTCATCCCAATTTTGGCGATTCTTTGCGGTGGCTTTATTATAAGCATCATAACGCTAATTATAGAGAACATTCATTATCGATCAAGGAGAAGGCAATCGAAAGTCTTTTATCCTTTTAGAAAGCTATTTATTTAAAAAATATAATTGAGATAAAACTTACAATTTAATTTACTAAGAAAAAAAAGAAGAAGATACATCTTTTTCGGAAAAGAATTTCTTCACTTTCCTTTTTTCTCTATGAATAGAAATTTTCTATATGTATATGTGTGTGTGTGTGTGCTTGTAAATTTGTTTTCACAGTTAATTATTATTTAAACTTTTTCCTTTACTCTGTATACGTGTTGTTATTTAAAATAACTTTAAATAAATAATAATGTTTATCATAATATATTTAAGTATTAATAATTTTGTTATTAACAATTTTGTATTTTAGATGTGATAATATGATTATAATATAAATAGTGTATATAATTATTTAAATTATTATTATAAGTGAAATTATTTATGATGTATTAACACTAAAATAAAATAAGAGTTAAGAGAAATACATTTCTAGCGAGAGAGAAAGGTAAACCTTCCTAAAGCTATTTTTTATTTTAAATATTCCTTTACATGTTTGTTAAAAATTATTCAATTTTTATTGAAAATTGTTAAAAAATCTGCCACAATAAATTAAATAATACATCAGATTATTCATATCAAGGAGATATCTTTCTCTGCTCAGCGCTACAATTCTTTTGCACGTTTAAATTTGTGCACTGATCTTTATATATCGAACTGAAAACTAAGATGACACTTAAATGACATACCTGAAATAGCAACATCGAGCGATGCACAGATAAATAATACTGGTTGCGAGAGCTTAACGATGATGAATAATTTATCAGTCTGGTCGATGATTCACCGATAAAAGTCATATCGTCGCATATCTCGATATAATTTGTAATAATGCTGCCGCACATCACTCGGTGACACTCTTTTGCACCCACTCCTAGATCCTTGGAACCGATAAATCCTCGTTTACGATGACCGTTCTTCAGTCACGCGTTTGCACCCTTGAATCGCGCTACCCTTATTTCTTTCTTTAATCTTCGCTCCAAGCAGTAATAGTCACGCTTTTTGATAAAATATTCCGCGATTCATTGTTATTCTTAGTAAGATTTCGGAATTAAAATACCGATTTCGCATTGTACCTCTCTCTATTTTTATATTTAATTTAACTCATATGAAGGATAATTTCTTGCTTCGAATTCATAGTTAATTATTTATTTATCGTAACAGTGTACAATTGAACAAAAGGAATATTTATTTTTTTACATGGTGATCGTTTATCTAAATTCTTAATTTAAATCTTGTACTTTGCGAAATGAAATATATGATAGTGCGATTGATCGCGATACTTTTCTTCGTGTTGAGTATCAAATCGCTGACAGAAGAAATAAGTACTAATAATTATTTCCGACTAATTAACGACGTCCACAGATATTATCGTACGTCATGTGTTATTTTCGTACAATCTGATAATTACGGTAAGTACCAGGAACAATTTCCAACTATCATTTCTCATATTGCATTTCCAGCCAGCTGACAGAAAGAAAGTTTCTCTCTCTCTGGAAATTTTTGCAGAGAACAAACATTGAATCAGAATTTCATGTGCAAACTAGTTCTATACAATATTATTTAATGTATAAGATGTCTGTAGATGACAAAGTTAAATTACAAATTAATTAATTATTGTATGATGTAATTTATATTATCAAATAATATGTTATTAAATAATTCAACATTATTCGATTAAAAAATAAATAATTATGCACAAAGTGTTAGAATAAAAAAAAATTTATAGATACCTACTAATTAATTATTTTTAAGAGAAATTTTAAGAGAAATTTTAATATTGTTGCTAAATAAATGTACAAATAAATTATCAAATTTTTTGTTTTTTAAAACTCTTTTTTTCTTTATTTTATTAAACTGAATAAAATGTAACTAAATAAAAAATTAATTAAATTTAAAAATTAAATGTCATCATCTCAGTTATGATCTAGAAAATTATATCTAATACTGAGATATTAAGTAAAATGTAATATGCATTTTTTATGCAAATATTGCAGATTTAAAAACGACGACATTAGTGCATACATTGTCGCGTGAACTTTCACAGCAGCGAGTCATGATCACGATCATAACTTTTTCAAATCTGATGAGTAAATACAATGATTACCAGAAGAATATCAGGCTGCCCTTATTCGTCATTCTCCTGGACACCGAGGAGACCATGTACGAATTCGCCAAGATCACGAAGGGCATAAAACCCATCTTTTTCCCTATCTGGTTGGTTGTGTTTCTTCAGCATCTTGGAAACCCCCTTAAAGACTACTGCACGCATCCTGCCAACAACATATTTAACGTGGACGTCAGCACTCAGATGCTGGTCCTGTGCTACAATCGCCCGATTCTAGTCGAGTGGTATGCCATTCGTGATAATTATACTAGAACGTTTGATCTGGCTACATGGTCTCCTGATAGAGGTCTGATCCTGAGAACGCAGGAAAATCTGTACGCCAGGAGGAGCGACATGTTTGGTGATGTTGTACGCGTGACGGTTGTAAATGTAAGTTTTCATCTTTCTCGAACTCTATTGTACGCTACTCTAACGTTGCGATTTAGTGAAGGTCGTAAGCGACGACCTTGTAAAAAATAATCAGCATGAAAAAAATTGCCTCGCAATTTGTCATTAGAATTTAACGATAACTTCGTAGATCTATAGACGTAAATTGACTTGCCAATTCTGTTGATAAATGCTCGAAGAACTCGCCATTAGTCTCGCTGAAGAACGGTACGATGGACGGATTTTTTGGTTTGCTACTGATAGAGCTCAGCAAAGTGATGAACTTTACGATAAAGATTCTGGATCCAGTAGACTCATTCGGTAGCTGGGATCCGCAAAATGGTTGGTCAGGTGCGATTGGCAAGTTGGTGAACAATGAAGCTGATATTGGCATAGCCGCATTCACATTAACAAACGATAGACTGAACGACATCGACTTTACGATACCATTGATACGTACACAATACCGCCTCTATTTGCATGAGCCCATCACGCCTTACGTGCAATGGTTCTGGTATTTTAAGGTAATAATTTATTTTAATAGTATAATATATTATTTAAATGTATTAGTTGTATATTAATTATACAAGTTATAGTTATAAAATTACGAATTAGACAAAGACTTTATATTTATCTTGTGTTAATTTGTAATAAAATTAAAAATAAAATTATAAAAAAATCTTTCAGTATATCTTTTAGAAATATATCTTTATATCTTTGAGAAAAGAAATATTAAAGTAATTTGTGTGTGTGTGTGTGTGTGTGTGTGTGTGTGTGTGTGTGTGTGTGTGTGTGGATGAAAATTGGTGATAACAAAATCTAGTAGAAGAAATTATTTTCTTTTACTGATAAATCTTACAGGTATTTAGCCCTGGAGTTTGGGGTACATTAATAATGATAATAATAATTGCTTCTATTTTGTTGACTGTTATTAAAGCAAAAGGATTCTCGATGAGCATAATATCTGACAACTATATTAAAGTTTGGGGTATTTATTGCCAGCAAGGTCTACCAGGTAATGTTTTTTCTATACTTAAGCAAAACAATAAGTCATCATGATATTAAAATTATTATATATATATATATTTTACGCAATCGCAGAATTTCCCATAAAGTCATCGATGAGGCTAGCTTTTTTTTCGATTTACGCCTCGTCAGTAATAATTCTGTCTACTTATTTCGCCTCATTGATCAGTTACTTGGCACTCAATACGGCTAAACTGCCTTTTTCCACTTTGGAAGGATACGTTGAGGACGGCACTTACAAATTACTCGTTCTACAAAATAGTGCTGAATATGATATTCCACTTGTAAGTCCATTCTTATTATAGTTTAAAAATTACTTTGCTTAACAATAATATATTACCTAATTATAGAATTTTTTGTTAAAGCGCTCGCGAATAAAAACAATTTCGCGATTGTAGCAAAAAAATTTTGAAACACAACATAAACTAATCTTAGTAATTCAGTAATTTTTTGTAGAAAATTTGATAATTTTACATATTAAAGAATTTAAGGGGGTATTCTTCAAAATATAAAGAATCGATTATGATCTTGAAAAAAACATCTGCTTTCTCGATTCTTAATTTAGCATGATTTCAAACATTGAGTAAGGTGAACGTTAGCACGCAATTGATCACTTATTTTGAATTGTGTAAAATAATTTTACTTGCTAAAATGGGTAAAAAAAGGACAAAAACAAGCTTGTTCATGCGGATCGTCAGAAGAAACGAAAATTTCGAGGTAGGAACACATCGCTGAAATGAGCACGGAATTTGTCAGCACATCGGCAAAAAATTTCGAAATTTCTAAAGACATCGACTTTACTATTTTAAAAGAATTCGGTTACTGCATTGAAAATTTTTTCACTGTTTTTTTGACAATTACCTCGCATATTATTTGTAAAAATTGCAAAAGTAACATAAAGTTTTCTTAAACCACTAATCATAGTTTGGGTTTTAAAATTTCCATGCAGTGCAGTAATGAAATATTAATCCCTTCATCTCCTCATATTAAAAGTGTATACGAAATTCACGTAAATTACGAATTGTATTCGTTATGTGACTTTTGAGTGTTGACAGAGAAAGTCTGAATTTATTTTGCAGTTTAATGGATATTGGTAAAAAAATAGCTTGTACGGAACATAAAAAAAAGATAATTTTCTTTTTTATTTGGTATCTATATTCTTATAGAAAAATATTCGAAGAAAGTAGTCGACACTGTTGTAAAAAGTAGCTTTTATCGAGCATGTAATTGGAACAAGTAGAAGAACGAGAACATTGATGAATATAATGATGTATAAAATTCACGAAAAGAAATCTGCTCTATAAATTATAACTGCAGTGCGGGTGAAATAAAGATTGACTATTACAGAGATGTTTTCGAGATCTGAGGAGAAATAAAAAGAATGAATAAAAAGAATAAAAAGAATAAAAAGAATGCATCGTTTATGTCGGAAAAAAAATGAGTACGAGATTTCAAAATGCGAAAAAGAACAACAAAGGCGTGTTCCGATATGTATTGAAAATCTATAATTTACGTTACGTATACTGTAAATTTTTAGTACTGACAGTATCTATCGGAACACGCCTAAAGATATCGACGGCAAAGATACCGTCTATTGATGAACTCACAAAATATTGTAGTTTGGCTATTCAAAGACATCCTGATTCTTTTATGAATGATCTACAATGGGCAGGAGCAGTAGTGAATTAAGGAGTAGGTGTAGAAATCAATCAATCATAGTCGAATGTGAGTGGGATAATCAACTAATTGATCAATTTCTACGCCTACTCCTATTGCGACTGCTCATTGTAGATCACGCATTAAAGAAACGAGAAAAGAAATATAACTAAAAGCTATACGAATGATAAGCCGTAACACGAATATTGAATGAGTGCTGAAGAAAACAATTGATGCGTAAAGCCGAAGTTACAAATACACTTAAAAGTTTTATTCATGACAAATCATCTCTTAATCTAAAGTGTTAAAGATATTAAAGCTTATTTATGAGGACTTATCAGATTCTTTAGTAGAAAGATGTTTACAGAAACGCAAAATAATAATGAATTTTTAATTTTATTAATTTGGACTTTTGCTCATTCAAGACCAAAAATTATAGAAATCGCCACTTCCTTAGCAGTAATAATATTTAATGAAGGCTTTTTGCCACTCTTAAAAATAATGAGTGTTATGGAAGCAACTATTGGCCAGAAAGTGGAAAAACGCAATATATTTTTATTCAAATTACAATTTTTTAAATTTTGCAGTATACCAAGAATCCCTTATTATTGAAAATGTACGAAATATACGAAATAATATCCTTACGAAACATTATTTGTATCAGAGCTCGAGTAAGTTCGCTAAGCAAACAAAAATCGATTGCTGAGAGGAAATAATTGTTTAGCGAGTTATGTTCGAGCAAGAGGAAAGTCCCCTCTATGGTCCTGGATTAGCTGACTAATAGTAATTAAAATTTTCTCTGTGTAAATTTCATGCAAAAATTTTGAAAGCGTTTTTCTCGAAATTGTATTTTTCGAATTTCCATGATATCTCAAGATCGACTTGACCAAGAGAGCCCAACTTATGTATACATCTTCAGCACATGTCTACCGTTTCTAATCACGATTACGTTAAAATATTGTTTTTTTTATTTTGACAATCCTTTAAAGATGTAAAAAGTTTGCGAAAATCGAAATTTAATTTTCAAAATGACATCATTTTTTTTAGTTTTCAACATTTTTCTTTTATTCTGACCTACTACAGTCAAAAGCATATTAATTAAGAATCTTTTTTAATTTTTTTGTTTCGATCGAGCAAAACTGGCCCAATGATGGAAGCCAAGCATAAAAGTTTTTTTTCATCGATTATTTCAAAGCGGTTTACTGATGATAATTTTCATTTTCTCTTTTACACAAATTTTGTTGTCTTTTTTCCTACATATTGTTTAAATGTTAATAAATGTATAGAAAGAACCAGATACTTAGTTTTTATGGTTCTTCATAAAAGATTAAAAAAAAATAACGCAAAAATAACATCTGTTACAGTAGAATACCCTCTTAATTTTATTTGTAAAGAATATATTATTCTTAATTTTTTTATGTCCTCATAATGGATTACGGGCAAAAGTTTATAAAAGGCATTCTATCCTAATTATATATTATAATTGAAAGAAAAACGCAATATATTTTTTTATCCAAATTATAATTTTTAAAATTTTGCAGTATACCAAGGATCCCTTATTATTGAAAATGTACGAATCGCGGGAAGATAAGGAATATTTACCGTTTAATTTGTCTGAGGGATTCAAGAAAGTTAGCAATGTCACTTCATTAATGACATTAACGGTGTTAAATTTTTAAGTTGATTCATGCCAATTTTCACATAGATTTGCGAGCGGATGGACTTGGCATTTTATACGACGGAAGTGTTCAAAAACTATATGGGCATTTATGTACAGTGTGAGCTGGTACATATTAATACCGGAAGAATCGATAATAATGCGATAACTTTAAAGAAAGGAAGTCCTTACACTGGCTTTATAAATTATCAGTAAGTCCTAAGTATACATATTTATTTATAGCTTTACCTTATAAAAAATAAATATTTTAAATATCTTTTTAATTTTCAGCTTGAGACGATTTCAACTTAACGGCGTTATAAATAAATTACAAAACAAGAATCCCTCAAAAATTCCAATGAAGGGCGGTATTGGTAATTTTACGGTCGATATAACCGATGTAACGCCGATTTTAACAATTGTAATAGGCAGTATGGTCTTGTCATTATTTGTCTTGATAATCGAGAAAGTGTATTATTCATTTAAAACTCCAAACTTTAAGAATAATGAATCCATTACAAAATTCACTTACAATCTTAACGTGAGAAATAAATTGCGGAAAGAATACGAGAAGAGCTAAAACTTCAAGAATTTTATAACAAATCGACTATTAGTCATAATATATATAAAAAATAGTTATAAATGCTATAGGGATTTATTGTTTATAAAACAATAAATCCCTATAGCATTTATAACTATTACTTGCAATATCTACGTTTATCAATTTATTTAACAAATTTAATAAAATATTTCAAATTATATTTATATTTTGGAAAGAATAAATTTCTTACACAGGTAATTTTAATTTACTATTATTTTACTTTTTCGCAAAATGTTGTGCTGCGGATTGCGTGCTTATATCTTGCTTACACAAATATAATTAATAACATAATGATTATAATTAAATTAATAGTATTTTTATATTAGATTATAATTAAATAGTAAGAATTTTATAATGATGGATATACTCGAAAGATTATAAAGACATATTACGTGGTTAAAAACTGGATTTTCCATCTCTCAACGTATCCGAAAAATCGCCAAAGTTATTCAGATTGCATATTTAGCTGGAGGTTGGAAACATTCTAAAAATAAAAATTGCTACTCCGTTCGATATGCATTAAATTCTTGTTTTTCACGATGACTAATAAATATACATTTGATTTTAAAATACTCAATTATACTTGTCTTCTGTATCTATATTTGCAACCTCTTGGATATATGTAATCTCCTGTAACAAGGACGATCTCTTATGGTTCTAATAAGACGAGGTTGCCAATTTACTTTGTCACTAAGACCCTGCACACAATAGAAGGAATAAGGAATTAAGAATAAAGAATAAACGATTTTAACCTATGAGAAATCGGATACATTAGAATACACGATTTCGAAATATACATTTAAACGGATCGATGCTAACCGATAATATCTATAACTAGGATAACTGTTTTTATTAATATGTCTTTTAGACAACTTGCTTATTATTAAATTAATTATTAAATACTATAATAACTGTTAATTTTATCTGCTTGCAATCAATATCGGTTTTTCAACTATTTCTTTTTTTTATAATATTTCTTAATCTAAAAAATGATACTTGATACTTTATAATGTTTTTGACAAAAATAAAAAATATTTTTTACTTTTATCTTTATTATCGTGAATCCTTCAAGCGATGATGGCTCTATTAATGTGTCCTCCCCAATTTGTGTGCCTATTCATATTTGACTCATTTTAACATATAATTACTAAAACAGGTAATAAATTTAAGCTAATTGTTTAAATCAATATTACATAATAATAAATTTAAGCTAATTGTTTAAGTTAATATTATATAAATCATTATATAAATCATTATTTTAATTATATTTATTTTAACGTACACTCACAACACAACGTTCTCAGCTCCAATACAGGGCACATTAATAGAGACAAGCTTAAAATCTTGTGATACGTGTTATTGGATTCACATAAATTCCTCATATTTTTTGAAAAATATTTAAAATACTTTAATACTCACAAAATAAAATATTATCTTCGGTATGCATTAATAATTTTATTTAACAAGAAAAAATATTTTTTCTTATTTATTTGTACTAGTTTTTCTTTATGACTTATTAAAATACAAAAGCACACTAATAGAGATAGATACAATAATTGAAACAGTTACCCTACAATGTATCTTCTTATCAATTTTTTGGCTTCAGACTTTTTATTAACCAAGCTTAGTAATTTATAGCACATAATTATTATTAATTGTATTGTAAATAAATAAATAATTGCGTCAACATAGGTTTTGATTGGTTAGAAATAAATTCTCGTTGTATGCACGTTATTTGATTGGATGTCGACTGAATCCAGGAATTAAATTCATTAACCAATGAGATATGTCAGTAGGGAACTTTAGTGACTCTCTTTAGTTATAGTTAGCACATGTCATAAGTTGTGTTCAAAGAGAGCTTTTCAGCAGAAGCACAAATCGACACAAAAGCCATTTCTGTCTTTGTTTCTTATTATCGAACAAAGGATGACTCTTGTGTCAATTTGTGTCTCTTGCTGAAAAGCTTCCAGAAAAATAGCAGCTCAGTGAGTAATTAATGGTTCTTTATTATGATTGATTTCTACATTTAGTCCAGTGAAGAAGATCAGGAATCAATCATTTTAAGCAGCATTCTATGGCAGCAGAGGATCAGCGATTCCATGTGTTGAGTGAAACATACACGAATGAAAGTAAGTAGTGCCGATTGTTTCCATAATATTTATTTCAGCGAATATATTTATTGCACTGATGATTTCAGAATGGAAAATATGAATGAAAAAAATGTGCAATCGCATGGAACAATAATATTGATTCTTAAGGAGGATCAATTCGAAGTTGACAAACAAAAATTAATCACCAAAAGTCTAAAAACTTTTTAGAACATTGTCAGATAGAACACGTTATCCATTATGATATTTCTTGGATTTCGTTACAGATTTCTTGATGACAGCAAAAATAATTCTTGTTCATAATTCAGAATTTTTAAGTATAAAACTTGTTTCTTTACCTTTTAAGTAACAATTTTTTTTAAATAAAATGAATTTTTAAATGTATCATAATAAAGTACTAAAATAACTGTTCATCACGTGAATTAGATAATCAAATTTATATTGGGAATTCATATTGGGTACTCATAAAGAATTAAAATCACAGCGCCGAATTAATTTAACCGATTCAATATCGAATCTTTAATTATTTGTCTAGGAATATTATTCGTCAATACAAAGTACTCCACCTAACTTGAGCATTTGAAATATCTCACTTGGTTTTTATGAAAAAATATTTCAAATGAAAGTGAAACAGTTTCAAGAGGTACGTATTTTGATCATGTTGTCTTTTTTTGTGATGCGCGAAAACGTTATGAAGATTATCTCTATTTTTTAAATAGAATTGTATAATTTTTTTACATAATATGATTTCTTTAATTACTCTACATTAAAAAGTATTAAGATAAAAATATCAAAAAACCAATAGTTTACGAGAAATTTTTAGATAATTATATTTTAATTGTAAAGAAAATACATAGTATTTATAGTACAATGACAAGTTTACAAAGACATTCCTACAACACCGGAAGATATGAGAGAATGAATCAGAACCGCATATATCAAAAATATCAGTTTTTAATCATCATCATATCAGTTTTTAATCTAATTTATTCAGCTCACTTATACACGAATGATAGTTGATTTATGTAAATCTTCATTGATTTAATAAAAATATATATCTAAATAAAAATCTAGAAAAATATTGTAAACGTTGCGAAAACATTGAAAGAATGAATAGATAGAATACATACATGTTAGAAAGAAATATGACATCGGCTTTTCGGAAAAAATGTTTCATATATAAATATATATAGTTATTATATAAAATTATATATAATTATATAAAAAATTGACATATTTTACAATTATATGTAACTGTAATATATAAAATATGTCTATATATTTAACTTTTTTTTCGGATTTTTATTTGCTCCGATTTTCCATTAATTGTCTAATATTAAAACTATATTCTTTCATAATTTTTATGCATAAGGTTCAGATTTCAATCACTAAGGAACAAAATTGTAACCTTTTTATTATACATAAATTTATTGCGTGCAAAATTTATTTATGACAATTATTGTTTTCTTATAATTATATTCTGTTACTTCTAAAAATCTTTTTTAAAGTTATTAATACTACTATTATTATTACATATAACACTCTTATTATAATTATATAATAATATTTACATGAATAAAATTTTTGATTATCAATATTTATGAATTGCCATTACTCACAGTTGTAATAATTTATATCTACATAAAAATTATTGTTTAATATATTATATTTAATTCGCTGATTTTAATATAATAGAAATGTAATAAAAATTGAATATTCACACTGTCAACATTACCGGCAAGCGGAAGTTTGTCCGCAGCTTGCAGTTCTTGCAATAGTCGATTCTATACGCACTCAGGTAGCATAGCTTTGCCGGCGGGCGCAACGGATGCGAGTGAGCACGCGCTTACATTTCCGCTTTCTGTTTGACCGGAAGTGACCTTTGTCTCATTATAAAAAACCTGCACGCACGCATCAATCTCAAGAGCTATCCCATATATGTATTGCTTCGGTATATATACATGTACAATGTGAATCGTCTTTACCGTTGCATCGAAGTTAGTAACAACGACGTTGATTATCGATTACGGAAATGAACGTGTCTTCGTGGGTACCAATCAGTGATAAATTAATCGCAAATAGCACGCGATGGCTATAGCGTGACAGCAAAATAGCTTCTTCTATTACCGACCCCGTTAAGTTGTAATTATGTGGCAAAGTAAGCCATTTTGTACCTTCTTTTAATGTTAAAATACAGAGCAAAGTTCCATATTAATGCCTATTTTTACCAATGTAGTTTAATTTTATAATCTTAATTCAACTCTTCATCTTTTCCTAGTTATAAGAATTAAAAAAGATGAAGAGTAAATTGAACTGAGATTAACATTAGTTACATTGGTAAAAAACGAGCACAAGACAAAGAATTTTTTCTTCTCAAATACTTCGAGCAATGCAAATGTGCAACCGCAATGGCCTTGATCGCAATCGTAAGAACAGTATACGTAGTGGTTACAGAACATGACAAAGAAAAGTACATTCTGAAAATATTAATTTTAATAATTTTTCGATACCACTTTACTAATATTCTAGTTGCTCATAAATTCGCTAATTTGCTTTCTGCCCATTCAAATATTTCCAATCCACTCTTTTTATTCATTAATTAAATTTCTAATTCGTCTTTTAGAGCAGAAAAAATGTAGAAGATAAACTTGCCATTTGTTTGCTACATTTCCACTTTGATAAAAAAAAGAAGGACTTGACGCGACTGCACTACGAAACGATTTGATGATGCACCTTCGGTCGAACGACCTCGAAATACATTCCAAAGACACGATTGTCTATTATTGTTTGCGAGGATCGATGTCTATCATTCTAGAAGGAAAACAAGATTCTCTGACTGGTCCCTCTCTTGTTGTCGCAAGTGGTAACGCGTCATTGTTGATGACGCGTTGTGTCATCTCTAGACTTGTCCAGAACGCCATCGGCAATAATAAAAGAAGGAAAGAGAGAAAGAATATTTCTGCAATGAATTATAACAATAACAATAACTATGAAGAAACAATAATGTTTGGTAACAACGATTGTCATGGAGGTAACAATAATGATGATAATGATGATGACAACGGGTGGGGTCTCGTCCAAGAAATGAAGTCGTAAAATCACACACAATGACGTCCAAGAAATGAAGTAGTAAAATCACGCACAATGACGTCTTTGAGTTTCGGTATCGTTTATTGTAAATGATTTTTTTGCGTTACATAAATAGAACAGAATAATTTTTTTTATTTAAGTTATAAGATTTTTACATATAAAAAGAAAGAAATAAGGTATTTAAATATATTACATAGTATACAAATGGATGTATTTATGTATCTATTAAAAATTATATTTCTAGATGTGATTATTTACATTAAATATATATTTTCGTTATAATAAATAGAAATTTAATGAAATAAGAACACTGTATTGATATATATTATCTAATATTTTAATATTAATTTTCTCCGAATATTACATAAGAATCAACTATCTCTTTTACTTAATTACAAGTATTCGTTACACACTCAAATAGTTTCGAAGAATAACCAATTCAATTTCTAAGGCAGCCTAGTACTAATTATTACAACAATATTTCTGCTTTAACGAAGACGATAATTTGCCTCCGACGAAATGAGAAGCTTGGTAGCTCCTTCAGTAAATTTACTAAGACCTCTTCAGCTACTACGAAGCTCATTAACTTGTCTAAAAGCGTAGGAAGGTGTTAGCTACGTGGTGGATCATTTGTCCTTATGCAACACGTCGAATGATGAGTTTTAGAGGAAACAGCGATAATCACGATACGAATGAAAATCATGATTCCAATAAGAACGTGGGTCGTTGTCCCCGATATACTAAGATCGTAATCGGGTATTATTTAACGGTTTGTTCTGTTATTAGATTTAAAAGAGCATCTGAGATAACTTAGTTAGTCTCTGTAGATAAGTTTTGCAGATAAGCTGCTCTATAAGCATATTAATTTTTCTTTTCTCATTACGAGCTAAACGATTCAGTAGGTCATAAATAATTGATATAATAATTGATATAATATGTGTTATTATACGACAGGAAAACAATAATTAATTTTTATATTTATATAGAAAATAATGAAGGTATTATTCTATCATTAATTCTAAAATATTTGATAGCATACTATTACTAACATTAAATTAGTAACATTAAACTAGTATTATTATTAATTTATAGATTAAATATAAGTGCAGATTATTAATACATGTGTATACATATATATATCATTAATATAATTAAAAGTTTAATACAATTAATGATTCTTTATATATCTACATTCTCCGTGTATGTATTTTCGCTGATTTAGAAATTATATTACGAAAGAAAACAAGCTTAATTCCCCGTTCAGATCATATTACGTTAAGTAATTATTTTCTAATCAATTAATATCTCTGTTTACTCTTCTTGTTTTACTCTTCATTTGTCACGAATAACGTGATGATCATTCAACATGCCGCGTATTGTCAAACGCAAAAAACTACCGACTTATCGCTCCACTATCGCTACGTTGTAAACCAGATACTATTGCGAAACAACCTATCATAAAAACGTTTAATTGCTGTAGCACGTTTTTGCCAAAATAGGTGTTCATCGAGACTCTCAACGCATGTGACAGACTTATCTCTAACGAAGGACGTATCGGGAAGATTCCTCTCTTTCTCTTGCTCATCCATTACATTCATACAATTGTATTTTTACTCAATATAATCAGAACTTTTCGCAATTAGTATCCTCTTGATTCTTTATCATTCTCACATTTATTTTTATATCAACAGCCGAATGAATCTTCGTCTCTTTTTTCCTTCTTTCTCCCTTTCTCTCTCTCTCTCTCTCTCTCTCTCTCTCTCAACAACGTTGGCGGAGACGACCCACGTACACCGAGTGTCACGTGGGTGTGGGCCATGTACGTACGTGTCCGCACGCACAGTGGGGGCACGGTACCGATGCGGTACCCCACCGCCGTCGCCGCTGCGGCGGAATGGAATGGAAAGGAAAAGAGCTGTAGTGTACCTACAGCTGCCTATCTGCCTGCCATAGACACGATTATGTTTCGTGTCTGGCGAACCCATTCAGTGCTTCTCACGGCACGGGGGCACATGGTGCGGTCGCGGCCGCAGACGGTCTCTCCGCGAGTGGTGCACGCACGCGAGCTGTGCGACGAAGAAGTGCAGCGAGAAGATAAGCCCGCCAAGGAGGTCGAAGGATAAAGTGAAAAGAGGGAGTTGGGCGGACAAGTGCAAGGAGTAATAATAAAAAACAAACAAACAAACGTTACTGAAGACATTTTAAAAATACATCGGATACATTGGAAGTTCCCAGACGATATTTTCTGAATGGATTAAGTCTATGGAATATATTAAATTGAAGAGAAATATATTAAATTGTATACGTGTTATAGAAATCAGTAAGAAAAAGAAATTACAATAAAGTCTGTAAAAAAAGAAATTTTTAAAAAGGAGAGCAATTAAAAAATAATAACAGATAAAAAAATGAGAAAAAGATGCCAAAAGAGCAGGTACCACGTAGGATATGTACGTCATTCTTTTTAATGTAATTCTGATCTAAAGATACTACGCGGAAAAATATTGTTTGGAATATCGATGGGGAGCGTGTGAGAAGGAATTTGCGTCTCGGAGAGACCACGACGAAACTGCACGCTGCTCGAGTACGAGAGCACTCTACGCACTTTCGAAGGAGATTCGACGCGTGTCCGGCGCGGTCGCGCGAAAAGTCCGGTTCCGTGCTAATTAAGATAGCGCGCGCGATGCCGTGAAACGTTCTTGTCGATAAAGTTCCGTGAGCCAAATGACTCGTCGATTTTGCGCGCTCTCCTCCCGGACGCGTGCTGGAAGTCCTTAAATAGTGTTATCGCGTATCTAAACGCGGGCAGACGCCCGTGCAGGGACGATAAGAGAAGAGGAAGAACGTAGCTTGCAAGAGTGATCCGCGTTCTCGGCGAGACCAAGCCAAGGAAAATCGGCGACTTACGATCTTAAGATCACTCGGGTGTCGTGAAGGTAATTAGAGCTAATTAGCGAAATTTTAGTCGCAACTAATTGTATTATTAAGCAGGAGGAAGCGCATTTCTGGTATCTGTAGTTTGCATTCGCGCGGATCATTTATCAAGAATGGAGCAGAAGCTAATTGTCGAAAGGGAGTAAATTTATGCGTGCTATCGGCGCGATGCATCTGCAAGTTCGTTTTTGTAGCTCGTTCAAAACTTGACAGCTAATGAATGAGAGAGAAACTGGATGTATAAAAAACAAAAAATCCAATGCAGTAATTCGCGCTGGAGAAAGTAGCGATAGTAATCAAATAGCAATTGAATGTAACCATAGATGTAATAGGTATAGATTATTGTATACTGCACGTTTCCTGAATGTTCCTATTGGATTCTGATTTACGTTCGCAATTCTTTATCTTTACCTTTATCTTTATTGCAATGCACTACATAACAAAATACAACGTAACGTTGATAAATAAAAGAAATGTAGTCTTATCGCACACAGAAATGGTAAAGCACCAACAAAACTGTTGTTACAAAGCTTGCCAGTAACAGAATATCACACGAGTAAGTAGCGCAGAAGCACAAGATCATATATATACAAAAAATTATTATTGTAAATCACATAATCACATACAATTAAATATACACACATTCACATACTCTCGTGAGCATTATTTGTTCAATTTTGATAAACAGCATGGATGAAATGATTCCAAGAGCGTTAATCAAACTGCAGCCTTAGAAAGACAACGCCATGTATTGAATTGCATCAGCATCTCTCTTTAACTTGATATTTGAGAGAGAAAGAGAAAGAGATCGAGAGAGACATAGTTTTAAAATTTCAGAAGAAAATCTTTTTTTTTCCAATTTTCTATTATTTTCCAATTTTCTCGGTTTCCTCTCGAAGGATAGAAAAATTCGTTATTAAAAATTTATGTGTTCGTAAGATCTGCCATATATAAGATCTTGCTTCTTTCTGAAAAGAGAATAATTTCAGTTTTCTTTCTGCAATTTGAAAAAGTGGCTCTTTTAAAACTATAGATACAGGTCAATCTACTTCGTTCTTTCCAAATTGATATAGTGACAACTTTATGGAACTGCATCTATATTTATTACTATTACGTCTATGAATGTAACACAGCGATCTATTCTGATAATTAGAGGGCTCAATAGAAACAAACGTAGTCAGATTGAATGAAACGTTTAGGTAGAAATTGGAAAGTCATCCGACAAGATCTTCAAATCATCGATCAGCGGATTCATCGGTCTCACGACCGATGTAACGACCTGCTCGTGCCCCGTTATGGGCAAAGAAAAGATACAACAAATTAGTGGTTAAGGACGAGATTGCAGGCAAGGCAAAAAACATGCGGACTTGTAAATCAGCCGTTTTTACTCACGGAAGTCGGGCTGACGGTTTCCGAAGCGTGGAGCGGTCGACGCGAGGTACGCACTATAATACAGCATAGATGCGATCAGAAATTTTAATTAAACCGTTATGATGTTCTCGTCGTCGACATGGAAAGTTATGTTATCGCGCAGTACTGCGGTACTCGGCTGACGACAATTAATTTGTTTTCCAAATCGCCAAATTCTGTCGTGCGAAACGAGATAAACACACAGCATTTTTTACCACGCGACAGATAAGTTGCGACGTTTCACGGTACATCATCATTCTTCGCCGTGAATCGATAACGATAAATCAAGGTAAAATTGGAGGAAGAATAAATAATTTCGAGATTTTTAATTAGAGGAAGGATCATGGGCGTACCCAGGATTTCAGTCAAAGAAGGGTAAACAATTTTTTTTTCACACGAAGCTCATTAAAATAATTACGTTAAAATATTTACATCAAAGCTAGTGAGGACCTCCAGCACACAAACGCGTTACGCTAGAATATAACGCATGAAGACGCATTGGCTCGTTAATGAGAATAACTTTAATTTTTAACTCTTTACGATAAAAATAATTTTTGTAATTTAATTGTTCATGCAGTTTGCTTTAACTGAAAATTATAAAAATTCACACAAAAATGTGGTCCTCTTCACTCATTTATGTTGAACGTTTCTCAGTCCATTTTTATTTAATAATGATTTTTTTTTTGCTAAAATTTAAAGCGCTCTTCTCGTCCTTGCGTACGTTCATGGAAAGGATCATCTTATTGCAATTCGTGTTCACGTATAATGGCCTTTAAACGGATAACGACAAGTTGTATTACACGGGAAAATTATGTCGATTTGATTACATCATTCGCCTGTAAGAAACGGCTTCAGTAGCGGATCGTAAATGTCGGGGGCAAAGCACAAAAGCGCTCTACACGACTTTCTGGGACGGATCGTTGTTGCACGGCTAACCAACGACGTAGAATGCGGTGACGGGAATGGTTCTCATCCACTTACGTGGAATTGGATCACTCGCAGTCCGTTCGGAATAGCTATGATTCTACGGAGGAAGTCGATCCGCTAAGTTTCACACGGAGATTGACGGAGATGCGATCCGCATTATGCCCAGCACCGACGTAATCAAAGTGCGACGTCCGAGTGGAAATGGAATAGCTTTGCGTGCGCAATCATTAGACACGGCGGTTAAATATAGACATCTCGAGAAATTACTCCGTCGGTTGTGTACGAGAATCGGGAAAAAAAAAACTTGCTGTCATCTCCCTCTTCTGAACGAGCGGAAATTTGCGCTGCATGTTTTCCTCAAGTTGAATGAAAGTATTATATTACCGACAAAATATCTCTGATAGAAATGTATGTTTTTCTAGATACTCATCCAGTTACTGTCTATAGTATTATTCTCATTAGTTGTAACAATACCGCGATATGAACAAGAATTTAATAGTTTTATTCCAATGAGACAGTTTCTCTGGTAAAAGTAACATACAATTTTTTGCATCCAGTTATTATCTGTCTAGTTATTATCTATTAATTATAATAAATATTAATAAATAATTATTAGTTAAAGTATTACTTTTGTTCTGTTTGTGTTCTGTTTAGTAAATGGATTCAGATTTTATACGCAATAACTGCAGGCAAAGAGAGTTACAGCTTGATTGAGATTCTATAGGTAATTTTTCTGTTATTATAAACAGAGTTAATATAACTGTTCAGTAACCGTTAAAATATGAAATTTCTACCAGGGATAATAAAGAAAATCTTTTTTTTTTTTTTCAAAAATAATATCCGGAAAATATACATACTGATGTTATCGTTTTTTCTTATATTGGCTATGTTCAGAAAAAGCAGCTTTGTACATACGAGATTTTTGGTTGTAAGATTCTTTAATATTATTTATACATTTAATTCTAGTAAGAAACTAAGAGCAACATATCAATCATATTAAAGAATTTTACAACAGTTGCAAAGCTGCTTTTTCTGCGCAGCCATTTATCAATATATCAACATTTTTTTTAATCTACGCATTCTTCCGTTCTGAAGTTGGAGAACTTTGCGCGCCTTATATAGAGAGCGCAGCAAAATTGGGTCAGCATTTCATGTTAGCGCAATTGAATCTTATTTGAATTATCGACGTCGAGATAACTTTATTCAACTTATTCATGACAGGCAACGCCGTCGGCCTACTCGATCCACAAAGAGCGAGAATGAGAGCAACGCACTACTGTGTGTGTGCAAAGCTGTAAAATGAATTGCTTGCAATGGTACTAATGGAAAATGCATGAATTTTCTTATTACAGATACTAACGAGATAGACTGGCCGCGACCGTGAACAGCGAGCAGGAGTTTCCCGTTATCGAATCTTGCGGAAGACGAGTAAAAAAAGGAGCGATTCATCCGTTCGATGAGATTTTGTAAATCTCATGGTTTCCTGGAGCCTCTCATGAGACGAATTGCACGATAAATATAATAGGTAAATCTAAGTAATTCGCTTTGTCTGTTCTCTTTCTCTTTTTCTTTTTATCGCGCGTGAATACGTGCACTGCCGGAAGTATAAAAAGGGTCGACGCATGTGATGAACGATTTTGAATTTTGTTCGCTCAGGCCTTGAACATGGAAAACGACGTTTATTCCGTTACATGTGTGTAAAGTTTACATGTTTATTTGCTTCCTCGGAGCGAGTAGTCTGACGTGACGTGACGAATTTGCGAATTTAGGCGTATCGGTGATGATGATGATCATTTAGTCAGTTAAATTGAATGTGACTGTCCGGGATAAATCCCAATGTGGTTCACAAATAGGAAAGAAATTGAAGTTTTAAATTATACTTTTTGTCATTAGCGATTTTTGCCTCAAACTATATAATTTTCGATGAGAATAGTCAATCTTTATATGAAAGAAGAAAGCAAATTTTTAAATAAATCTTTCTTTTATTGCTTTTCATTAACTTATACATATAACTCCATGTGACTTATCATATAACATTATATGGAAATTAAATACACATATTTATATTTTTAATAATTTAATTTTTTAGATTAATAAAATCGATATTTTTCATTTTTTTGGTTACATATAATCTTTTTTATAAGCAGAAAATCCAATCACAGGGATTTAGAAAAAAAGAAACCGATTTTTATGAAAAGAGAACGGAACTTTAAGATCTTTGAAATGCTTTCGAATTCTTTTAAAGATTTGTCTTTCCTTTCATGCGATTATTTTAAAATCGTGACAAAATAAATATGAGCTTATGTCGAATTAACCATTAAACATTAATTATTAAACAGTTGTGTCATTGATTAGCTAATTAAAAAATAAATTTTTTCCTCACTAAAAAAACGTGAGGATTGTTTAAAATACATACATAAATAGTAGTGTTGGCTATCGCTACCAATTAATACTAAATTAATTCGAAGAAAGCTTAATGATACAACTGGACTGATATTCAATCCGAATGACGAGGCATGACTATTTTTAATTATGTCCGTTACCGTGAAACATTTCCGAAAGTTTCGCGCTTTTGTTTTCTTCGTTAACTCGCAATTTATCATAATGGAATCTAATTATACCTAGCGGGACCGTGTACTCGCCGACGAGCAAGTATTTCATTACCATACGTAAGTATCATGTCCTGTAACAAGTACACGAATCATAGTTTTTATCATCTTAAATTCCGTTATAGACATTAACTTTATTGCATTATTAACAATTGAAGTAAAGAATATTATATCCGCACAAGTTGCGGATATAATATTCTTATAGCTTCCCTTGCAGATCTGAAGTTTTGCATAGCTTCAGGTCATGTAAAAAGACAAAACGTCTAGCTGTTACGTCATGGGACTTATATCACGTCGGCGATGGCATTCGCATAGTAATCATCGATAATGGTGATGATCGATCTGTCTTGCAGGAGGCATCGCACATGGAGTGCGATGCCGATCGTGCCCGCTGGCCATTTATGGGTTCTCGAGAAAGATATATATATATATATATATATATATATATAGAGAGAGAGAGAGAGAGAGACGCGACTGTCTTCACAGCTCCTGTATCAAACCAAAAACCCTCTAATAAAAGTCTTGATAGAAAAAGTCTAATACAAGCCGCAGTATTGTATGTAGTGTATAATAATTTTGACAAAATCGGCAAAAAAAGACATTTACTATTTTTTTCTTTTTCTCATTCTGTTTCATGTCTTTTTCTTTCTCAGAAATAGAAGAGGAGGAAAGAAAAACGTGATAGTAGGTAGAGTAATTAGGATACGATAAGATCCGATAAATTGTAGGTGAGAGACAACAATGGTTATGTAGAAAGAATTGTGTATAGGATTATTGCTGTGATTACATAAGAAACGGGTATTGACTGTGATAATATATTTAAGACATAGATAAGATAGAAGAGCAATAATAAGAATAGAAAGAGAGACAGAAAGTTGTGCAATAAGTAATTAAAATAGGAGTTCATGTGAGAAAGGTATGGATGAGTGAAGAAGTAACAAAGTTTGTAAACCAAGTCTTCTTGGCTTTATGTAAATGCCGATTGAAAAGAATAAATTGTATTCTATCGATTTCTCTCTTTCTCTGTCCTTCTCTCTCTCTCTCAGGAATTATTAAAATATGGCAGATCAATCAAAAATAATTTTTTAATATCCAGACTCTTATTAATTTTTAGATCGAACTATCTTCTATTTCTACATGTAATCGTCCGATCACAAATTAGAACGCAGTCGTTCGCTTCGGACGATCGCGATGTACGACACCTACACGCGCGCAAAGACGAGCGTGAGATGTGCGTTGCAAAATGTGTACGACCGGGTGTCGCTGCCCACATGTGCATTGCGTTGCATTGCGTGGCGTGACACCCACATAAAACGCAGCTACCGACTCGCGACGATAAGTCCTCAAGAGCCGTGACACGTTCCCGTTGATTATAGATTCTCGATAACTTGCTGTGCGCGCGTGTTTCCTGACCAAATGTTACATCGCTCGAGACGGCAATTTTCAGCGTGGTCGGTGATATTCGAACGTCATGGAACGACCTTGCGAGAGCCGATCCGACATCGAGACGTGCGCGGCGAGCGCGGCGAGTTTGCGGTAAAAGCCGAGACCCGGTGTTTTCTCATCGCCGTATAAGTCTGCTGCGAGAATCGAGAGGCGGGAGTTGTGCAAAGTGAATTAACAAACGGGACTAAAAAATCGGACGGGCTTGCGAATGAAATTAACTCGTTGGTGCCGATACGTGAGTGCAACAGCAAGAATGAACGTTTCTTTCTTTTTATTAATTAAAGAATATTTTGGGAAATAATATTTTTGGCGTTTCGCAAAAATGTTATACAATTTTAATTAATAAGAATTCAAAAAGAGCGTTTCTGTATTTTGTATTGTTTAAAAAAATTAATGAAAAGGAAATAAAAGAAGAAATGAAGGTTGTTGTGGACGTTGAATGAACGTGTTCATTAATTCCTTATAAATTAATATTTTATTCTCGGTAGTTTAGCCACTCTTCTAGGAATTTCTTACAATAAAATTATATTAATTTGAGAGAAACGCGAAAGATCTCTCGTCGTGTACAACAAGTAGAGAATGAATGCATTTTCGAGCTCGTTTCGCTGCTGAAATTTCATTTTTTGCTTAAACGACTAGAATTACATCAACGTATTCAGTCGGGCGTGAGTTTTGTTCCATAACGGTTAAAGTTTCACTACTGTAATTTGCATAGATTAACGTCGACGTGTAAGCCATTGCTAATTCCATCGTGGTAAGCAAAATCATTGCGTATCGATCGGTGAACAGGACTATTGACTAGTTTTAAATCTTTTATAGCTCTATTTAACTCTTCCGTTACCCACGCAGTAATTAACAATCTTGCTGACAGAGATTTGATTTTAGTTCGAAAATTATTATTACAATCTCTTAATAGTACATTTTAATAGCATATTTTGTTCACATAATAACGATCTCGAGCGACGTTGTAATTAAGTCTTTTACCATAACCATATTTTTAATGCTCGAGATAGCATGTTATATAAGATAGTGGATAATGTTGGATTCTTCTTCCTTTTTTGCAAAGCACAACCTCTAACACAACCTCTTTGGAAATAACATAGGTAAATGGTATGTGTAATCTAAGAATCTTATCATATATATATTATTACAATGAATTTATATATTTGTTCTTTTGAGGATCTGGAAAAAAATATAATTATATAAAATACATCTATATATATAAAAAAATATAACATCTTTTCCCAAGGAATATTTTTCCTTTTCATATCCTGTTTTCACGATATTTCGTGTTACATAAACAAAATATAAATATTGAAAATAATATATACATATTAATCGTATCTTATCGTATAGTTATTTTATTATTTTTAAATAACACAAGGTTAAATTTCAGTACTCAGTTAAAATTTGAATTTTCAGATAAACAACAATTTTTTTGAATCTTCGCTGTGTCTGGCAACGAAAAGAATTGAAAAGAAAAAATAAAAGAGAAGAAGATGGTATACCGAGGCAGTTTGCAGACGGATGATCCTAGGGATGCACCGAAACTAGTCCGGGTGTCTCCTTTGCGTAGCAGCAGATCTGCCAATTTTAGTTCAAATTCGCGAGCCATTACAACCGTCAAGAGCCCAATTTATCATAACTCATTCGCAACGTCAATCGACGCCAATCGAGCGCGGCTGATCGAGGAAAGGCGATTAGGACGCGAGCGGGATATTGAGTCGGTCGAGAAGGTAATTATGAGGACCACCGGTATAAAAATCGGCGCACCTAAGCTGCGCAACATCAGTCAGATTCGTGAAACCGTTTTCTTGGATCAATCGCTAACGCCGATCGACAAAATTGGCAAAACAGACTCGAAGAACCGACCACGCAGCGTTGTTGCTGGTTTCGAGGATGGCAATGTCAGGATATCGAGGACTCATAATTCTTTATTGGCGGATCTGAGAGACTTGGAGAGGCTAAGGAACACTCCACCAACGCAGCGGAATCACAGAGGTCCTTCACAAAAAACAGACTTGATGGTAACGATCTCAAGTAAAAGAAACGACGCACCGACCTCAGCCAAGATCCGATCGGATATCTTCAAGATCCAGCAGATGTTCCAATCGACGGATTCTTCACCTAAGACAGTGACTAAGAATAGCAACGACAGGAAGATCAAAAGCGATTCTGAGAAAGAGGAGAGAAAATCCGGAACGGAAATCAACAGGACTCGGTTACTAGCGCAGAAGCTTCTGGAGGCGTCCAGAAGCAATCGGGAGTCGTTGAAGGATCGATGTAACAATCCAAAGAATGTGTTTAATAAGATATCGAGTAAGAATACGAACGGAAAAGCATTGGATAAGATTCTTCATGAGATTCCGGAGAAAGACCTGAGGGACAAGCAAAAGCAGAAGGAAGACGCAAATTCGGATTACCAGCCACGTCCTCCCGTTCGCCGAAGAAGAAACTCGAAGAATCATCAGGGTTGGAGGGACACAGATTACATCGCGAATGGGCGTTGCGAGTCGGAGGACCGAGGTATCCGTGATCTCGATCGCGGAGAGGACTCATCAAATGGAGGAGCAAGTGTGGAAGAAAATTCTAAGACCAGCTCTAATCTGGAAAGACCGGATATTCTAGCTGGGCTCTTGAAAGAGTCCGATAGGCAGCTGGCGAACCTGAAGAACGATCTCGGCGAGAGGGAACGATCGCGCAGTCATTGGCGAGGATTCGTGCAATCCATGAGGCTGCATGACGTAGAGCTCCATTCCGACAGCGAGGACCAGCGGAAGGGTGAGTTTGCGACAATTCTGTGCATCTCGCGTGTGATAAAATTCTAATGAGAGAAAGATAACTAATATACGTTTATAAAGTTATTTGTAACAATTAGATAATGACGTTAAGATTTAGAAATAAATTACACAAATTAATGACGATAGTAAATTGATTTTTTAAAATTTAGTATGATTTATTTAGCTTGTTGCAATAAATTGTAAATAATTCTGATTGAAAATATGAAGCAAATGATGATAAATTAAAATATAAAAGACATTTTATCAAATTTCTCTTTTTATCCATCGTCATACGATTTGTTACAATAGTAGCTTCATTAAAGAGGACATCGCGAGAGATGTTTACTGGTTCATTGATATCGTCCCGCATTTTCTCGATTCTGCTTTTATCTCACATCGAAGGATAATTGAAGTTGTCAGGTTTATCGGTTTAATACCCGCAGGCCGTTAAATGTTCGACGTTCGTTTGAAGGAAAAGGGTGCGTTTTATAAGCCAGCAGATTTAATTAGTGACGTTTGTCGAGGTGTTTAAAATTACAGTACAACTGGCATGGTCCATTGATCCCTCGGGGACTAAAGCACCCCTATTTTTGGACGCATCCTCACGCTCGCACGCTCGTTCGCGTTACTACCGCAGGTCAGGGTAGTGTGTTTCGAATACAGAGTGTGTGTATGTTCCCCTGACATATGTCCTTATATAAGAATTTAACCGTAGGAACAGACGTGCGGAGTGCCTTTTCTCTAGTACCGCAGTGAAAGTTCTATGCCGATGACGGTTCCGATCTTTTCAAGCACTCGGCTGTATATCCCTATAGAATATTCTGAAGAGCTGATATTTGTTTATGCAAATGGCAATAAAAAATCAAATATGCCCTTTTATGCCCTTCGAGCACAGATTTACGAGCCGATATATGCGTTTAAGTTACACGTTGCGTATAAATAATTTTGTCTTTGTTTATCTTTTTTAAAATTAGAAATTCTGAAAAAAAGACATAATTTATAAGATTAATTTAAATTTAAAAGAGATGAAAAATTTCACTATTTTAAAGTAAAGAAATTAATTAGACAAACTGTAACTATATAAAAGCTAAGCATTGCCTTAAATCGTCTGATTAAATTAAATTAAAAATTACTGTCGCTTTTCACTGAAGGGATAATCACTTAATGTAATCGTGGGACACAGAGTCTCCAAAATCATTATAAAATTGATGTGAAATTCCGATAATTATACATGTGCAATACGAAAAATAATTGTGTAATATTAGATAAAATCGTTTATTTTGTCAAATGACTTCACATACAGTGAAGAAAATTATTTTTCATTAGATGAAATCGTATGAAATCAAATGAAATCATGTAATCTGTAGGATATACTGTTTTTAGCTAGTAGTTACCCCCTTCGCTCTTCACCTCCAATCTGTGAATTGCAGTTCGGTAAATGTCAAAAGTGTCGGTGTGTTCTCACGGGTACTACTTCCAGGAAATTTTCTAGTTCTCTGAGTGAATGCGTGTTCAACGCGAGCGGAATGGCATCGCGATCACCTTTAGTTGAGTGCAATGTGTATAAAAAGGTTCAATGGCAGGCGTACCCCGCGTACCTTGCACAACTCTTTTATCCTAACTAAGCATTCTTATCTGTGACTTATCATCTTACAAGTAGACACTATATCTCTGCTTGTATACGTGCCCGCCCGATGACTCAAGAATGTTGATATGCGTCATAATTCTCTAACAAGAACAGTTGTGACACAACATTTACATCGTGAAAAAATACGAATTATGTGCAATAAAATAAGACAAAAGAAAATTTAAGCTTAAAAGTGAATTAGAGGTTAAAAGACTTGGATTTATGAACTTTCTTCGCAAATATTTAATTTTATACAGAATAAAGTGGTACAAAGAGAGGAAGCGTTTCTTCGCTAAAATGGAATTTTTGAAAAGAAAATATTATGAAAAGAAAATATTAATATTATTATTTTTTTATATTGCATTAAATTAAAATAATCGCAATCGCGCGGTATATATAAAGTATACTTATTTACAAAAATATTTATTATACGAATGAAATTTTCTTTTCTTCGAAACGTTGCATCGCGAAGAATTTCGCGTTGCGTTCGCAAAATAGATATTGTCACTGACTGTATATAATCTTAGTGCAACGTGAAGTCGACGTTTTCTCTTTAGAGAAGGTTCGTAAAGCAGCCGCCTCGAGAAAAATTCCTGAATCAAAGGATCTCGGGTCGTCGGTGGCTGCAAAGGGGTTAATTCTTTCGCGTCGCGATGAAATACCGCGTTTACGCTTGAACTATGCACTCATACCCGGCTAGCTGCTATGTTCGAATACCTGGCCGTTCGCGTAATGCTGCGCTTTCGTCCTGAAAGCCAGAAGAGGGGCAAGTTTCTCCCTCGCTTCACGGCAATTCGCATTCTCACGCCGCGAAAGTTTTCATATATGTAAAATGAGGAGAGAACACGACGCGCGCAATTAACAGTCTGATGACATGCAATCATTTTTACCGCCTGCCTCAGCGAGAGGTTCGCAATTCAATTGCATAAATATCGGAAAGTGCGAATAACTTTTTAAATAAAATTAAGTTATTCTTTACAAGACAAATTTAATTATTTAAAATTTTCACACTAATAACTATGTTGACTCTCCATTTTTATATTACTGATTACTTATTAATCATCTTTGAGGGTTCTATTTAGTAGATCTGTTTTTTTTTGTGTGTTACATGATTTCCTAATTTAGATAAGTAAAGTTAGTATTTTCTTTTAAAAATTTATGAAGGTTAATTAGACATCGTCTACTCGTGACTAAATTAATCAATTAGGAAACAAGGGTCATCAATTTTTTACTTTAGTCTGTAGCAATTAAATTGTCCTGAAGTGTATAAGGTCAGTGTGATTATATTATCTTGTAACGTGACTGCTCTTTATCGGTATTATTAGCAAAAAAAAAAAAACGTTTTTCTGGTGTCAGCACAAACATAAATTATTCGATACTGCGAGACAAACAAGCGGCACTTTTACACGCCCATGCAATAATTTTTATAACATACCTAATATCTCACTAATCTCGTGTAAACTTCGCAGTTACGACACACATGCGAAGGTGAACCAATCTCGGCGATCGTGAGAGCTAGCAAAAAGGTCATGTATAATAAATTCTAGACATAATAGGGAGCATCGACGACAACCGCGATCGATATCGTCATGCGATGTATCGTATCCGAATTCCTTTTCACACGCACGCACGCGTTTCTCTTATACAGGGTGCTTCAGAATCCTTGACCTGAATTTCAACAAGAAGCTTAAAACTGATTTTTATAAAAGTCATTTATAGAAAATTTTTAATATTCAACATAGAATATTTTAAGGATTAAACTTTGATCACACATGCAAAGTCTTGATAAAGCAGAGTTTACATTTTGGCTCTTTCATTTTGGTTTATAAAAAATTTTATTAGGCGAAAAACATAATTAATCTTTCGCTAATAATTATTTGAAACATCTTGGTGTCTTGACAATGCTGTTAAGAAAAATTCTTAGTTTATTAAATCAGTTATTATAAAATTAAATATTGCAGATTATGTTCAGCAAATAATAATTTATCATCTAATAATTATTAAGCAAATAATATTTAGCAAATAATAATTTATCATCTAATAATTATTAACTTTTCTCAGTAATCTTTAAGTCTATTTTATTATATTAAGTCAGTTTAATTTTTAGCTTCTATTTCTTTATAGGGAAAATTAAGTTTTAAGTATAATCTTCCTGGAAAAAATTTAGCTTTAAGAAAACGAGATCTCGCTATTTATTTTTTCTCAAAACTTGGCCCATAAAATACCGATTCTTGTTCGGCCAAGAAAAATTAGACTTCTCATTTTCACTTCTTGAGAAATCCGCTGCGTTAGAGGACCGACACCCCATATAGGCTCTAGCGGCCCTTGCCCTTGAGTCTACGCCCTAATATTGATCCGAGCATCCCCACCATGATGGGTCACATCGGAATGATCCCCCCTTTTTCTCGACCCCGACGTTGGAGGCCGTTGGTCGTCCATACATCGGTTCTGATGCGCTACATCGCCAGTGTAAACGTGGCTGTCAAACTGTTAACACTTTATACAATCCAATCGATCGAGAGTGTCGGTCATTCAACGCCGGTCTTCTCGTTTTCTTTCTGCTCTTCGTCCACCTCCATCTCAGCTTCCTCCGCCCTCTCTTGCAACCCATAGCAATGCCGCCCTACGTCACAAAATATCTCAGTGCGGATGCGACCACGCGGTAGGATACACGCGTTTCGTTGCTGCCGACGGATATGGTGCTTTGCGACGTCTGCGACAACAAAGGTGAGGGTGACTTTCCTTGTCTTTTTCTTAATGAAGGCAAAAGCGACATTATAGATTTTATGGAGAGCAAGGGTGACATCGTAGACAGGAGATTCTTCCTCTTGACCTTTAATTTTGATGACCTTGAGATTCTGAGTTACTCCTCGGAGGTGAATGCGTTTAGAAATTGAAAATTTCATTGGGGATATAATCTTGGAGGCGATGACGAGAAAAATTGCCAGATAACGATTTATTCTTTTTAGTAATTAGTTTGATTTGTGTTTGACAATCATATTATATTAATTGAAGCTTAATTTTAAGAAAACTACTTTTAGTATCGGCTTCTTTTATAACTGAATTAACATATACTGATAACATTTTATTTATTTTGAAAAAATTTTACTTTAGAAATTTCAAGTTTTAATTGATTATTTTATATGCCTTACATTTCACGTAATCAATAAATAAGATTTGTCGCGAAAAATGCAAAATAAGTCTAAAGACTCCAGAATAATAAATTCAATGAGGTAAAAAGAAACTTCAAGCTGTTTATATCAATAAAGTTAATATTATTATTTATTAAGATGAATATGAACTTTGTTTTTCGATTATATTAATTGATGCGATTACCTCAAGGCACACATTATCAGTCTTCCAAGGAAAGTGTT